GAAATTCAAGCATAAATTTCTGTATTCGGATTTAAACGAGACTTTAACGTAGTATTAACATATTAAAATAAAGCTCCTCGCCTTTCTTTTGCATAATAAAATCAAATGTACGTAAAACAGCATGAAATCCCAATATCCTTTCTGAATGAATATCTCGGGAGAACTCGTATTTGCCTTAAATTAATAAAAGGTTGCTCAAAATATTCGTTTTGGGCTAGAATTAATTAATTTGGAAATGATTTAACCTCTGGTGTTCCAAAAAATATAAATACGATCAGTACTATAACAGCCTGATTCATTGTCAGAGATATCTAGATCCCCATATGACATCGGTGTTATTATCTCTAAAAATATCCTAACTTTGACACATTTTGGAAATAAATAATGGAATGTAACTGCCCAGCTGTCATAAGCAAGAAACAATACACAGTTGTTCACTAATCTTTTGGGTACTGAAGGACATTGAGTCAAATATCCGTAAAACAGCATGAAATTCCAGTAGCATTGTCAAACGAATATCAAGAGCAAACTCGTATTTGCCTTAAATATTCATTTTAGTCCAAAATTAAAAATTAATTTTGGTACCAGTTATTTTCGTGAAAGTACCAAAAAGATGCGAGTATACGCGGTATAATCTTTTAAGAAAATAAGAAAATATCTATCATCAAAAAGCAATCACAGTGATAAAATAAATACCTCAAAACTTAACCTTTTCTTAAAAGATTTTAATGCTGTTGAAGTTATAGTATAAGATAGTTTTTTCAGTTTTGGTAGGCGAGACAATATTTGATCTACAACATTAAGTTGGAAAAGCATTTTATACCATCTGAACGCTGTAAAAGATGCAGATCATATCTTCAGTACCTACGACGTTCCATACATAAAAATTTACTTCGAGTCATGTTCATATTCGAATTCGAATGAAAAATGTTTGAATAGCAAAACATTCAATGTAATGTTTTTTGCTTTCAATTCAATGTTATTTATAACTAACATATTAGCCTCAAGATCGAAGTTGTCTCTATGTATTTTATATTAAAAATTTACTAATTATAATATTTGTTTGAATTACGCTATAGGTAAGTATTTAATGCTGACAATTATGGATATAAAATCAGAATTTGGAATTGCGACTATGCTTTTTACATCACTTCATATGCATACATGAGGGTTTTTTATCGAACTCTTCTTCTTCGGTGACGCGACAGACCCATGGTGAACCAAGGTCGTCTGCCTATTGGCAGATTTCGAGACAGGAAATGGTTTCTTTTATGGGGTAGGATTGTCAGCCCTATATAGTCATATTAGACCTGGAAATACGGCTTAAAGTGGATTCCAAAATACTGAAAACATCCATAGTACTACCGGGTCTCGAACTCGAAACTTGTTGCACCGAGCTTTGTCAAGTTTTCCCTCTTTCAAAGTCATATTTGCATTCCAAAATAAATTATAAAATAACTTTATGAATTATTTAAAATTTTTTTTTTTTTTTTTTTTTTTTTTTTTTTTTTTTTACTGTGTAAGTACCAATACGGCAGAGGAGATATTTCCTCTTCTATCGTTGTTTTCATTATCCTCCTTCAATAATAATTTTTTAGCTTTAATTTTTATGAACTGTAAATAAAAATTTTAGAATAACAGAAAATTTAAAATTGAAGTTGCATCAAAGATAAATTTGCACATTTAACTTCGAACATTTTTAGAAAGCCATTTCTCAATTTCCAAAGTCGTGTAGTAGGGAAACAGTTTGAAAAAAATATTTTAAAGTACAAGTCTACAGAGAATTTAGTTTTCAGAGGATGAGTTACTAATTCCTTCAAACGCACTTTATAACGTAAGTTTTATAGGTATCTATATCTTTAGTTATTCAATAAATTATAAATTTATTTAAAAAAATATTATCTGTTTGTCTTCAGGGAAATATTTTAAGTTAATTTTACTATGTTTATATCAAGGAAAACCTAGAAAACTTCCATCAAGTAAGTCTGTGCTTAAACATATCGCTTATAAAGATCAGTCACCGACTTTCAATTTGGAAAAATTAATTGCTTTCTTCTAATCGGATTTAAGATGTTTTGCATATTTACAAAAAAATTACTCTCTTCAATAAAGAAAAAGTTTTTTTGTTTGATGAAGTTTGTCTCATTTTATATCGTCAGAAATTGTGAAAATCAAAACGAATTACAAAAACAAAAAAAGTAATGTCCACCTATATAGCCATTTTGCATAAATGTAAATTATCGATTCACCCACTCAAAAACGTAACATATAAATATACTAAATAGATAAATAACTACATGAAACGTATTTCTCAGTTACTTTGCATCTTTGACATTCTTACCCAAATATCGCAACTTTGTATTACACAATTCTACGAATACGAATTCTTTAATATTGAAAGCACATTACTCGTTGTATAACATAATTGATAGTATTTTGTTGCACAAAATACTATCAATGATATTTTAATTATATATATATGTGTGTAATATGTAGCATATATGTAACATATAAAACACGTGTCATATGCAGCATAGCCTTCAATGAATGATACATATTTTGTCTTGATAATATGGATGATTTGGTATTTTATCGAAATTAGCAATTATATATCAAACCAATTATCTATCAAAAATCTTTTTTTTTATTTAATTTAATTTTTTTATTGTAGTTCACAAATCCCTCAATAGATGGCGCACGTTTTGTCTGTAAAAGTAAAAAAATCTACAAATGTTTCTTTTCCTACTCTTTAAAAAAAAAATCTTCTTTAAATGTTACAAACGATTAGAAATCTATATTTACTCAAAATATATTTTTATAACAAATTTTATACTAGTTTGAAATTAAATTATTATTTCCAGAATGCTATTCATAATGCAGGCTACAGGTATTTTTTTTTTTTTTTTTTTTTTTTGGTAGACAAAATAAATTATTGTTCATTAATATTGTTAAAAATTTCAAATTAGATTATTACGTCATAGAATACTGAACGGGAAGCTATGACGTCAATACTATTAATAAATAAAAATTGTGACATTTCAAATAATATAAAAATAGTGATGTCTAATACTGTTGTCATAAAGCTACAAAATCAATGGATATAATTTGGAAATAAAAGATTTCTAAATCAATTTTTCATTGATATCTTTGACGTTATTTAAATAAATAGAGAAAAAATAAAGAAAAATAATTTGACTAGTTTTTTTTTCCCATAACATAAACAGATACGTCAATCTCAAACGTCATTACTAAAATTTTATGCAGTAAAATATAACAATATCTATTAGACAAAAAAATATCCAAAATTTAGTGCAAACCTAAATTCCTAAATTAACGATTCTATCCTACATTAACAGTTCTCTCCTAAATTAACGATTCATAATTAACAATAAAAATTATTATGTTGAAATAACACATCACGCTTAAAGTTAGTTAATTTTCAGTGATTCTTAATTAGCTAAATAATGTTTAAAAAATAAGAAATGAAGTTAGAGCTTTATAAATATTTTAATCGATTACCATATTAAAAAAACAAGACAGTAAAAGCAAAGCTGATCAAGACATTACAAAAAATTTTCATAATCTCATTAATTTTCAAAAGTCAGACAGTTCTATTATATTATAGGTTTCATTTTAAACTATTTGATAAAAAGTGAAATATGGTATATCTTGGTTAGCTTCAGCTAATTTAAATATTTTTGTAAGATAATTTTAGGATTATTCTTCGCATGACAAAATACGAACTGAAATATTTTATTAAATAGTTTGATGTCAGATGTTACCAAATAATGTAGAATAACAGCATTAGCAACGACAAATAATATAATTATTGACAAAAAGGAAGTCGCCATTGGATAATTTTAAATCTAATTTTACCACCGTTACTTTATATCAAATACAACAGCCGAGACGCAAAATAAAAAGTAACCTTATTTTGAAAGTGCGATATAATTTACAACTTTTCTAACGATAGTTATTCCTATTTTATTTTAGAATTGCGCTCAACAAATTAGATGTGTTTGTTTCTAAATAATATATTAAAATACGCAAAGTTATTTAGATCCACACATATTAGTGAACGAATGTTTTTTAGGCATGAACATCAAGGTAATAAATAGGTAACTATCATTTCAATAATCACTTTTGCCTTTGGTTATTATAAAAATCGAACTAAATTCGAAAACAACTTATTAAATTAATGTGATGTTATTTATTAAATCTTTTATTATGATAAACGAATGGAATAATAGAATATATGATAGAATGATTGCGAAACTATGTGATAAATAATTAAAATGCATGCAGGCTGTGGGCTTCCACAAGTCTAGGCACTCTTGATTTAAAGTTTTTTTTTCTTTCTTCTAATGCAGCTGGCAAATAGACCGTGATCTTTCTCCATAAGGGCTGCACCGATGTTACTCACTTTGCATTACCCAGGGGGCGCGTGTAACTTGATCGTAAGCCACGGACGCGGAGTAACAATGCCCCCGCAGCTCTCTACGATCCTATTAGGACCGGGACCTACGGCTTAAAGTGGATTCCGAACCACTACAAGCACCCATGGCACCGCCGGGATTTGAACCCGATACCTGTGGTACCGAACGCCAGAGCGCTAGCCATTCGGCCATCAGGCCCCAAATTTAAACTTAAGAAAAGTATTTCTTTCATCCTTTTCTAAATCACTGCAAACAAAGATAAGAAGATGGTAAGAACTTTTATTAATTATACCCCACAAGATCTTTTACCTACCTTATTTTTTTAAATTATTTTCCTTATCTTCACAAGAGTGTTGGATATCAAGACATCAACCATCGGCGAATGTTAGTTTCGATATTTAATTTATATATTTGCCTAAAAACATATTCCGTTTCAATATTGCGCATATCAATGAGAGAAGTGAGTTGCTAGAACCCAAAACATGCAACCCTACTTAGATCGCATGTTTATGTATAAACAAACATCAGTGGTTCTCGTATTTTACTTATGTGTGACAAACAGCCAACGGCCATACCATGCTGAATATACCGGTTCTCGTTAGATCACCGAAGTCAAGCATCATTGGGCGAGGTCAGTACTTGGGTGGGTGACCACCTGGGAACACCGCGTGCCGTTGGCATTCACAAATTTGGGACCTGAATGGCCGAGTGTCTAGCGCTCTGGCGCCACAGGTTTCGGGTTCGAGTCCCGGCGGTGCCATGGATGTTTGTAGTGGTTCGTAATCCCCTTTAAGCCGTAGGTCCCGGTCTCATATGACTATAAGAGCGTCACGGAGCCAAAGTCAGACTTCTACCTACGGGTGCTCCATCAGAACAGAAGCTGCTTCCTTCCCCTTCAATCATGAGTACGTATGGGCACGTGGGCTTGGCCAGCCAAGTGGGATAAGAAACAACAACAAACACAAACAGCCCACCAATCGGTGATGAGGGGAGGAATTTTAGAGGTAAATGTACTGAAATGACGTACCGTATGGGAGAAAATCCAGAAAATTCTCATTACGCAGCTGCTGCTACTACTATTATTAATAACTACACCACATTACTGTGCATAGAGCTGAGATGCCCTTATACAGTTTTTGAATGGTGTGGGAAAATTGAATGGTACACACGATGGAAGTGGGTCATCAGGCAGCTGGACTATCGAATCAAGAAGATATTCACGCTCTGTAGCAATTGTCATCAAGTCTCCTCGTTTCTGAAAGGAATGACGATAACGGACGTCACCACCTTGATTCAATCTTGAGCCCTCTTCCAAGTTAATTGTGCACGTTACCACTAGTAGAGCTCACAAACCGTTTGACTATTCGTTTTTGGTCCTTGTTAATTAAAAAATGAATCACATTTTAAAACAAAACTGAATCAAATTCTCTATTAAATAAATAAAATGTCAAAACATCACGTATTTTTATAGTGTTATCTTATTTAGTTTACACATGTAGTTACATGTGTGTGTGTGTGTGTGATAATAATTAGTGTGTGTTAGATAATTTAATTTTTCCTCCGTCACTTTGAAGGAACTAAAACATTTTAGCATATGTAACAGTATTGTAATATGAAATTTTGTGAAAAATCTCGATGTTAATTTATGGTTATTCAACTTTATGAATATTTATGAATTATCACATTATTACAAAATTTTGACAAAATATAACCAGTAGAATTTCTTTTTCCTTTTACAGTTTTTTAACATTTTCTATGAGTCTAAAAGTTCTTTACCCCTCCACTTATAAATTTCTGATTATAATCTACCGCATACTGAAAATACTGTAAGGATCTATTACATTGAATGAAGATAGAGAATCCTGATTACGATTTGTCCCAAAATATTGAATTACAGATTCAAGCTTTATTTTTCACAAAGTATTTTTAAAATTTGTTTAATTATTTTTATTGCTATTTTTTTAATTTTATTTTAAGCATTGTCTCATCATCAGGGTTACAAACTTACAGAAAGAGTAGATAAGACTTTGAAGTCACATAACAATGATGATTTGAAGATCCTTTATATACTAAGGATACTACAGTATATAAAGGAGATACTATAGGATACACAGAATCTAAATAGAATTTAGATACTATAAGATGCACAGAATCTAGATAGAATTTAGATACTGTAGGATGCACAGAATCTAGATAGAATTTAGAGATACTGTAGGATGCACAGAATCTAGATAGAATTTAGATATTATAGGATACACAGAATCTAGATAGAATTTAGATACTGTAGGATGCACAGAATCTAGATAGAATTTAGATACTGTAGGATGCGCAGAATCTAGATAGAATTTAGATACTGTAGGATGCACAGAATCTAGATAGAATTTAGATACTGTAGGATGCACAGAATCTAGATAGAATTTAGATACTGTAGGATGCGCAGAATCTAGATAGAATTTAGATACTGTAGGATGCACAGAATCTAGATAGAATTTAGATACTGTAGGATGCACAGAATCTAGATAGAATTTTGATACTGTAGGATGCGCAGAATCTAGATAGAATTTAGATACTGTAGGATGCACAGAATCTAGATAGAATTTAGATACTGTAGGATGAACAGAATCTAGATAGAATTTAGATACTGTAAGATACACAGAATCTAGATAGAATTTAGATACTGTAGGATGCACAGAATCTAGATAGAATTTTGATACTGTAGGATGCACAGAATCTAGATAGAATTTAGATACTGTAAGATGCACAGAATCTAGATAGAGTTTCGATACTATAGGATACACAGAATCTAGATAGAATTTAAATACTGTAGGATACACAGAATCTAGATAGAATTTAGATACTATAGGATGCACAGAATCTAGATAGAATTTAGATATTATGGGATACATCGAAATCACCAGGAATGATAGGACGCCACGTTAAGTTAATATGCTGTTTATTAAGCAATGTGCATCAACAAAACTAAAATGGTAACAACAACACAATTGAATTAGGGATGGCATGTCGTTTGCACACAAAATTCACCAAATTTGGACACACAGTATTTTTTAAATTCTTACTGTCTGAAATTATTTTTTATTAATTAATTATTTTTAAAATTATTTTTTATTTCCTTGTTCATTATGCATCAGTTTTTTTTTTTTTAATTTTACGCTGTGTTTCAGCATCAGATTTACAAACTTCTAGAAAGAGTCTAATTAGCCCAAAGTGTGCACAAAATGACCGTAGAGTGACAAACCAAACCAAATCTAGAAAGAGTAGAGTGCGCATTGGAATCATATTACAATGAATCATATTACTAGGGAGGGTATGTAGTTTTCACACAAAAGTTATCACACACTGCAGAGTTGCATCCTGGCATAAGGCGATAAAGCTCACTTATCATTTAAACGGGAGTAAGGATCCACCATACCTTCCCAAGATAAAGTATACAGCTAACGGGGAAGAGTTCAAGATTGATAGATCCTTCTTTCAAGGACGGGTTGACCCTTACGTTAGACTTTGGTTTTGCACGTTTTTCTTGCCCCCCCCTCCCTGTTCGACCTTGGAGAGAAGAGAAAAGGGAGTGAACAGTTGAGTGAAGAGTTCCAGACAGTACGGAGGGTACAAAGATCCTTAAACGAACTAGCATTTAAGATGACTTTGTAAATATTTGTTACATAATTTCGTTTTGCGTGTTATGTGTTGCACGCAGTTATGCAGTGTTGTCTTTGTGAGCTTTAATAAATATGACAGCTAAAAGTTTCGAATTATCTTTAAACGTAATTACAATTGTTTCTACCATGAAACAACACTGAATCTAATCAAGACCTAATTTGCACTAAAGTTAAGGGTGAAAAAATAATTATAATAATACAAAATAAAAACTTACAATTACAGAAATACATGAATACAATGAATGACAATACAGAATAGAAAAAATTAGCTATGGAAACTATCAAAGCAATAACTAACAGAAGCATAAGTGAAACGAGTAATATACAATGTAAAAGGAATAAATAATGGTTATAAACCTGCGAACAAAAGTATGGCATGGAATACAAAATATTATGACGGCTTTCATTCTACGAAGAATTAAATACATTTGTTTGGAGTGATAGAATGGGCGCAGAGAATTCAAATTATATTTCAGAAGTAATGGGTTCTTGTGATAAATTCCTTATCATTTTCTGCTATAAAGTTCATTAATTTGATGTTTTCCATCTGGCCCAGGGGTTGCAAATCCTATTTCTGTGCCATTGAATGTAAAAAAGCTGAGAGATTTTGCGATGCCATGATTCTGTAAGAGGATAAACAGTTGCATATTGGAATGGGGTACTTACGTATTAACGGTACCTTGGCGACAATTGTGCCAATAAAGAGCACACGCGCCAACCGCAGCTACAGATTTGGCGCCAATCTACACTTAAAATTTTTGTTCCAAATAATAAAATATATATGAAACACTTCATTTAAAATCAAAACGCTTTCAAAATATTTTTTTTCCAAATAATAAAGATTGGCGACACTTAAAAACCGCCAAGTCTGTCGCCAAGGTACCGTTAATACATAAGTACCTGGAATGGTTTCCCAGCCCCCAACAGAAATCATCTTCTAAAAGGTTGAATCCTTTGAGGTATGTTAAAAATGGACCGTGACCACTTGCAAACATAATTTTTTTCTCGGGAAAGAATGTTATTTTTTAGAACTGTGTGGCTCAGCTATCGTTCTCTGCATCCCTTTAAACCATTTGCGTATCCACTAGTTCCACGTTCGTAAGATCAATCATCCTACTATCGATGCATCACCTTGAGAAATGAACTATCACTGCGAGAACTTTTGGTGAAATTCCCGCACCGAGTACAACGTTATCCAGTACGTCTAAAGAGCATTTACAATCAAACACTGCTATGCAATAATTATATCGAAGAAAAAACACACATACGAAGTTGTTCGATTTTTTATTCTCTTTGAAAACTTAATTAATTCTTAACAACATTAAGTTCTTAAATACATGAAAATTTAAGTCCTTAAATTAACTTCTGTCATAATATATCGAAAAAAAATTTCCCATATGAAAGTTTTTTCTTTACTTTTAAAAATTAATTAATTCAAAATAATATTTAATTATGAAATGAACAAAAATTTGTAATTCTTCATCAAGTTGACTTCTACTATATTATAGTAGAAGTCAACTTGAATAAAAAATAGAATAGAATAAAAAAAAAAATTTTCAATTAAGTAAATATTTATGCTATATATATTTTTTTAAATTATAATAAAAAAACAAATACATAAGATATTTTAAAGCTTGCTTTAAAACATATTTTAAAATAATTAATGTAAAACCAAACACAAAAATTATAAAATTCCATTCTTTTTTTAAAAAATTAATTTAACATATGTAGTATTTTTGTTTTTTTTTAAATACTTAGAAAAATAAATATTGCTAACAAGAAAATTTTAAAATTGAACTTTTTGCCACTCCAGCCAAATTACACTATGTTGTTTTCTACACACAAAAACACAGTTTTTATCAACAATATATTATTAAAGAATTAAAAAAAAACGCTTTAAAAATATTATTTTAAAACGATCTCCATCGAATTATTTGCCAAACGCTATCTCAAAATATAAAAAAACATCTGCCGTGCGTTCCTCATTTTCTATTCTATCGAA